CTTGATTTACCGCCGCGAGGCCCCGTGCATCCTACGCGCAAGAGAACCCGAGCCAACGTCTCCCAACGTCTCCCCTCGGCTCCCCCTCTGACATTTGTCTTCCGGTCCGGGGAAGAAGAGAACGCGACTGTCCCCAGGTTTTCCCTGATTTACCGCTGCTGCCGATGGTATTTGACTAAACGATCCCGGATCTTCTCGATCCCCGTTGCGCCAGCGAGCGGCTCGAGGTCAGAAAATTGCACGAGTACACTTCCGGCTCCCAGAAGCTACTCTGTCCGATCGTCGATCTTAGGTTTTTTTTTTCCTTAGAGACAGGTGTGAATTACAGGGTGAAAGGATTTGACTCTACCAGAATCATAAAGGTTTCGAAGCAATCGAATTCCAACGTCACATTTTCCATCTCTTTGGAGTGATACCAAGATGAACGTTTTAAGTATCTTTTAAATATTCACGGAATTCGTAAGACACGTACTTTGTGAATTTTAATGTTTGATAAACAACTGTTACGTGTTCCAATCATTCGTTTCCTTTTCATAATTGAAATATGAAATTGTGTAATAATTGATAAAAGAGCGAAAATACATCATTTTCAATGTCATAAATTTGCAACTTTCTCTTGTGAGTTTGAATGGGTCCAGTGCGAGAATTAATAAAATTCTAATGACTCTTCAAACATACTTTGTTACTCAGAAGTGTTCTAATACTCATAGATCGATCTTTCCACTTTTCGAAGGAAACTTTCCTCTTACAAAGCCACAAACTTTTAATAAATCTCTAACGACTTTTTAAGTACATTTCAATATACATAAGCAAAGACACGTGTACACGCGTGTCAATACAGATTAATTTCTTGCCTTGTAATATCAAATCACACCCGCACCATCTTCAAGACCAAATACGGTTTGAGAAACTAAAACGAGGGAAACGAGGAGGTAAGAAGAAGAAAGCACGCTGTGCTCGTATCAAAGTTCAATCGTAACACGCGTCTTAAAAAAGTGCGATGAAAATAGCGCTCGTAACAAAAGATATTATAAGAATTTTACTTTACTAGCTATAACCATCTCGAGGCTCTGCTGCTTCCGCGTGTAACTCATCATTCTCTGATCGTACCCGATTCTTAGGCCAGCTATTCTAACCTCGGAATCGCGTGTGCACGTTTTAATGTCTCTGCTTCTTACTTAACTCTTACCTGGTATTATTGAGTCAATGGAGATCATAACAATTTAGAGTTATTCGATCGTGGAATTTTTTTTTTCCATTTGTTTCACAGTCTCTCTATCGCGGAGAATGTAAGATATACGGAATCAAATAAAACATGCGTAATTTTAACGACGTACCAATAACCCAATCATTTGAAAGTTAACCCTTGGCGCATTGAAAACATCGTTTCCAAGCAATTAAAAATCTTTGTAGGTATAATATACATGTAAAATTTTCATTGAATGTATGTTGTGATTTCTTAAATTT